GGAAACTCAAGACTGCCCTGATCTACACGGTCTTTACAAGCGTATGAAACCTTTGTTCATGACTGTATGACACAAAAATAACAAATATTCTGCTAATTCTCTTTGTAGTGGGGAAAAAAGATGGAGATGGTAAAGGACTAGAAGTACCTTAACACATGTTGGGACAAGACCCTGGTTTGAACCAGGACCACCGGAGCTCTGAGTGTTCATACCAGGGGTCACAATCCAATTGTCTTCCATTGGACAGTCCAGTTCGTTACTGTTTGTGGCACCATGCACAGAAGGATTTACTGGACTGGTTTCAGTTTTTGTCCTGTGGTCTTCTGTGTCAGGAGCCTGGGGATGGATGACATCAAAAGACTCAATAAACTTTTAGGTTCTTGAAGACCTTTCACTTCTCATCCAAGAGGCTTCCTCATTTCTGAAGTGAAGTTCTGAACCAAAGACACCTCTTGGATGAGAGGTGAAAGGTCTTCAAGAACCTAACAGAGAAGTCCAGTTGATTTCTACTGAAGCTCCTCAGATTACCTGGATGTCTGAGAACCTACATTCAACATACTTATGAAGAAGGTTGGCTCAGTCTGTGGGATGGAGTTTTAATAATGATAACAACACGTAATACTTATATAGTGCTTTTTCAAGATACTCAAAGACGCTTTACAAAGTAGGTAACAACAAAACAAACAAAAAAATAATAATGACAAATAAATAAATAAATCTAATGGAAAAGGAGCATGAAAAAAATCAGAATTATGAGTTGTAGGCAGTGCTGAAAAGTCCAGTGGGTTGACAGGGCCAAACCTTATCTACTAATTTTAGATAATCTACACCAGAGATCTCCAGCTCCGGTCCTCGTGAGCTACTGCCCTGCAGGTTTTAGATGTCTCTGTACTGCAACACACCTGACTCAAACTAGTGGATCTCCAACAGCTAGTTGTCAAGTTCCACACGAGTCTTTTGCAGTACGGAAACATCTAAAACCCGCATGACAGTAGCTCATGAGGACCGGAGTTGGAGATCCCTGATCTACACATAATAGTGGAGAAGACCATGTTGTCTAAAGTCTTCGTTGTGGACGTCGTCTTCCAAACTGCATGGTGTCATTACTGGCCAGAGGAACTTCGTCTGACTAATAATGACAAAATGATCCACTAAACATCAATGACAGTCTTTCCTTCAACAATTCTACCCTTGTTTTATGATCTATTGTGTAAAATCTTCATCTTAACAATTAAGTAAAGCTGTGGGATAAATGTAGTGGAGAAAAAAGAACAATATTCGCCCTGAAATGTCAGAAATAAAGGATAAAGTAGCATCACATGAGAATACTCAAGTGTACGTTTGTGGTATATAACGATTGAGTAAATGTTACGTAGTTTATTTCCACCATATTTTCATATAGTGTTTGTCTTAGTCTTCTTTTTTAATATCACATGTTGCAGCCTTGCTTCTATCAGCATGTTACAGAGAGTTAACTAACCTGTGGGACTGATGGCGGCTGTCCAAAGCCTGCATGGCCATCTGGGGTAACTGGTGGGGTGAAGCAAAGTATTAAACAAGACTAAAAACATCAATGAACATGAGTGAAAATAAACAAATAATAAAGCAAGGCCATGAAACAACAGGAAAACAAAAAGGGAATAATAACATACAGCCATATGTCAAACATTCATTCTGGCTTTTAAGTAAAAGAACTTTTAGGAAGGAATTTAAAAGACACGAGATACGATGTTGCCCATCTGATCTCAGACCGTTTCACAGTTTGGACGCAGTAACAGCAAAAGCTCAGTCAACCTTATTGACAAGCCGAGACTGAGGAATAACCAGCAGAGCCTCATTTAGCGACCTGAAGGAGCACCCCAGGATGAAAAGGGTTCAAATATCCTCAATGTAATTTATAGTAGGGACGTTAATTATCAATGGTTAATTGATTAATTGCCGTTATTATGTCAAAAAATGTCTGGTCTGCAGTACCTGGTTGCACCACCAGGTGGAGCCTCTTATTGTTTAGTACTACAGTGACCTGAGGAGGCGGTCGCTTGGACTACGGGCAGTTCCGTGTTGGCTAGTAGAGAGCATTGTGGGGGTTTAGCTAGCAACAGGCACCGTGACAAAGACTTCTGTGGCGGTTAATGACTTCCAGCCAGAGTCCATTTGTTCAGGACATGCCAGAGTTTACTTGGATCGTTCCTTTTAGCCACTGATGAACCCATTTTTGCTGCAAATGCCACGTGTCTGTGGTTATGGTAAACTCTTTCAGCAAATGGAGTAACGTCAGGCGTATTTTATTCACGTCCATGATTAACTGATTATTGATGGACGATGCAATTTGACTAAAATTTGCACCCCTGGTTTGAAGCACAGCCATGTAATGCTTTAAAGGTGAATAAAGAAATGTAAACTGAATCCAGAATTTTACAGGTAGCCAGTGTAAATTGGCAAGTATTGTGTTCATATTTCTCAGTGACAGCTAAGAACCGGTTGGAGTCGGTGAAGGGAGCTCTGACTGATGCCCGTACAAAGTGAGCTGTAGTAATGGAGGTGGGGGGAAAAAACAAATAATAAAATAAAATGATCTCAGACAGGAATTGTCTAATTTTTGTTTTAGCTGCGTTCTCTTTACTTAAACATCTAGACCAACATCAACAACAACCTCCAGATTTCTTGCTTCATGTTTTTTATTCAGTGGACCAAGTTCACTGTGAGGTTTGTTAGTCAAGATGTTTAATCCAGTGACTAAGACTTGCCAACGTTGGATTGCAAAAGGTTTTTGAACATCCAGAATTTTACAGACCAACCAACAAAATGTTCAGGCTTCTGGGGTTGTTAGTTTGAAAACAGACATAAAACTGCATATCATCTGCTTATCAGTGGTGGGAGATACTGTGATTGTAGTTAAAAGGAAGCATGTTCATTAAAAACAGCGGTGCACCAAAGATAGAGCCTTGAGGAACACCACAATCAAGTCTGGCAGCAGAGGAACAGAATGTTCCATTTTAGAGCTATTTGCGCAACAGATGTACAGATGTTCCATTAAAACCAACCCAGGTTTCTGGACAGTATCTTGGACTGAAGGCAGCACTCAAATCATAAAGCACTATCACAGTACAGTCACCTGTATCAGCAGGTGAAAAGTAGATCATTAAAAGCCTTCAGGAGGGTTGTCTCTGCTATGGCAAGCTCTAAACTCTGACTGAAAACCATTAAAAATATTGTTCTTGTTCATAAAAGATAAGTGAGTTGAGATGAGCACCTCAGAAAAATGAAAATTTAGAGATTAGTCTGTAATTGATCCAAATGTGGTTTCTTTAAGAGATCTGTGAATAATTAAAACAATAAAATGACTAACAGAGGAGAGTATCTCTTTAAAAACATACTACAGCCAGAAGATCATATTTGATATTATGCTGAAAAGTGCTGAGCTGTTTATAGTCTGAGGTATTTGGGCCATTTAAACATGAAATCGAGCCTCCTGACTCTGTTTTGACTTTTTGTTGTGTTTCAGGCACAAAATCAACACTTAACTATTTTAGTGACACTATTATTGGCTGCTGCTTACCTTCAGGTGAACTATCCATGTTGTTATCTGAGGACCAAGAAGGAAAGAAGATTAAAAAAAAATAAGAAGCAACATCTAAATTGTTTTAGTGACACTGGCAGTGATTAGTATTTAGTGCCACTTACTTTCAGGTGAACTTGCCGTGTTGTAATCTGAGGACCAAGAGAGAAAAAAACATAAGAAGCAGCGAAGAAAATTCTTAACTTAAAGATGATGTATTAAAAACTAAATGCCATAGCGGAACAAGAAGAGCAAAAAACCAACAAAACTTTATCTGTTCTGCTGTAAACTCGTGTTCACGTGCAGCAGAACAGATTCAGTGAAAAACTGAACAAATAACTCAAACTAACATACAGACACATACAAATCCGTATAAAGGACATGATGTAAACAGCATTATTTGTCATTTAAAACTCCTCTCAAACACACAAACATCGGTGGACTTTCTGTCAGTGTGGATTCCTACTGTCACCGTGCTGCTGCTGAAATCCTACAAAGCAACTTTCCTGTTCTGTTTTAGCAGCCGCTGCAGCCCCTGAGTCACCAGGATCTGCGTAAGGTTCTATGCTTTACCGAGACGTGGCTGTGTGAATCGATACCGGACTCTGCGCAAACACTTGGCAGGCTTACCACGCTTCAGAGCCATTATTAGGAACTCTTTGGTAAAAGTACGGGTGGGGGAATCAGTTTTTACGCCAACAGTGGCTGGTGTAATGACGTCATGGTGATTCAGGAATTCTGCTCTCCAAATCTGGAATCTTCTTCTTTTTTTTTTTAATGAACCATTTCATTCCCCGCAGGCCAACGTGCAACATGTGTGGAGCGGACATACCTGGACTCCTTCGTTATTGTCTTTGGTCCCTTATACCCTTTATGGGGCAAATGACCATATTTGGTAACCTCCTTGGACGTTCAGTCTGTCCACCCTGTGCCTCTCCTTGAGGCTGAAGAACCATGTGCACTACCTCACGAAATATGTCACTAAACAAATGTTCCGGGCACTTTGTAAACGCTTTGTTACCGGTTTGCATTGAATTCCACTTTGATTTATTTTTTGAGATTAGTGCCAGAACCACTACCAAAGAAAAATGTTCCTAAATGAACTTGCCAAGCACTTTATAAATACTTTGTTACTGGGTTGTGTAAGTATCATTACTTCAAACTAAAACGTTTCTAAATAAATGTTTTTTGCAGTTTGTTTTTCTTTGATTTATTATAAACTCCCTTTTCTTTAAAAAAAAAAAAAAAAAAGTAGACAGGCAAATTTCCATATATGGTAACTTTAATAATCTTGATTTGCAACATTTTTTTTTTAAAGTCACAAAAGTAAAAATATCTTGAAATATCCATAAACAACATCTTATGGTTGAATTTTTCATTATCCAAGTAGTTCAAGGAAAGCCTTATATAAAGGGTTAACAAAGGTAATGTCCCCCACAAACTCCCTAAATATAGACAGTTTATGAAACGCCCCACCAGAGAGGAGAACTTTTCGGAGGCAATGATGGTTCACTTCTCCACCTCCATCATTGAGTCCATCCTCACTTCCTCCACCACCATCTGGTACGCTGCTGCCACTGCCAAGGACAAGACCACGCTGCAGCGTAGCATCAGCTGAAAACACGATTGGCTGTAATCTCCCGACCCTCCAGGACGTGGCCACCTCCAGGACCTTGATGCGTGCTGGGAGGATTGCGCTCAACATCCTGCCGCCCTGGACGATAACTTTCCGAACCTCTCCCTTCTAGCGGTCTCTCAGGACCAGAACCTCGCGACACAGGAACGGTTCTTTACCTACAGCAGCGGCCCTCTTCAACAAAGCCGGAGACCCCCAGTGACACTCCCCCCACCACCACAGACACTGACTCTATGCGTTACATGAGCACACAGCATTAAATAGGATTATTATTATCCTTTTGCACACTTCAAGTTCATTTCTACACTCCACACTATGTAACCTTGTATATTCTGAGACATTCCTCCACGCTGGAAATATTTCCATTACTTTTATAAACCCTTTATTACACTTACTGCAATTGACTTATAAGACTGCTTCTTATTCATCTTGGTACACTTAATACATACAACTGGCAACCCTTTTTAAATATTTGTTTACTGGTGTTGGCACTAAAACACCAAGTTGTTACAGTACTATTTATTTATTTATATTTTACTTTATTATTATTTCTTTTTCTGTCTTTCTTTACTTGGCAAAAAAAACAAAAAACAAAACTGTGACTTGTACATATGGAAATCTTGTTTTTTTTTTTTTTTTTACTTTTTTTTTGGTATATTCTTATATAATTGTTTATTTCGTGCTTACAGATAAATTAACTTCCAGGTGATCACGGGAAATAAGTATTTGATGCCAGCAAGAACTGAAACCGGAAATTGAAACTAGTTAACACCTGTCTGTGTGTGTGTGTGTGTGTGTGTGTGTGTGTGTGTTTGACATTCTGTGTCATGCAATTAATACAAACCTACGATCTTTAACTTATCGGCCGCTCATTTTATTTGGCATGTGGCCAAAATCATTAAATATGCAAGACTTCTGCTCATTAACAGCAGCAAACACGAGCTTCTTACCTTAAAAAAGATGGCTCTATTCTCGTTGACGCTAATCTTCACAGCCTCCTCTGTTTTCACCGATCTGTGAACACTGAAAAAAGCTTTTACTGCATCTCAAGAAAGAGTCTTGCAGCCACCACTTCTCCGCATGAGTTCCAGCTGCTTCTGAGTCGCAGAAATGGGTGGAGTTTCCCAACTTCCAGCGGCGGTGACGTCACATCCGCTCAAGGACGAAGCTAACGGTTTGATGCTTTTTTTTTTTAAAGCACTTTCCTCCCAAAGTCGGCAACGTTATACTAGACGAACTTTCTGCAACTCTGAAAGTTCAAAGTTTCATAGTTTAGAGCTTTGAAAAGGAATTTAAAAAGTACATCAAACCCTTCGTTTCCAGCTTGAGCGGATGTGACGTCACCCCCGCTGGAAGTTTTGCCCTTTTTTTTTTTTTTTTTTTTTTTTTTTTTTTTTTTTTTCTGTGTCCGATGGACTGTTATCTGAAACCGGCGGTGCACACAACGCCCTGCCTGAAAGCCAGGAGTTAAACATTCACCACCCATTTCTTGGAAATCACATTGGGACCACCAGCCTTTCCCATAAACCACGTGGTCCAACACCATGACTGGACCAGACGGACTGCAGACATGGGGTCTCTATATAAAGCCCCCTTTCACTTTCACTGTTACAGCGACTTCACACCACTTTCCTCTCTGCGGCAACACAGCGGCTAAGGTAGGTGTCTAACGTCAGCTGAGAAAAGAGCTGTAAGGACTGATTAGGCTGTGGTTTAAATCATTTTGGAATTGCTTTTGGACAACAAAACCAATTAGCAATTTTATTTTATTGATGTTTACTTTCGGTTGCTGTAATTGCTGGCAGTATAAAAACACTTTGTCATAGATTATAATGAACTTGCTTTTTCCTTGCAGGAGGGTCTGCAGCCCACATTTCCACTGTATTTGTAATTTCTATCCTTTTTTTTTTTTTTAGTCATGGGATCTTCATCATCAGCTCCATGTAAGTAATAATGCAAACACCTGCCTGACACAGTTCAGACTTAATGACATGATTCTCTTTTTATTCTGTTTAATATACTCCTGAGAACTGAGGAGAAAAAAAAAAGTGCCACTTGCTGCATTTTGTCTCAGTTCCCCTCATCCCACCCAAACACATGAGACATCACTGGAAAGGCCAGGATGTCCTCTGTTGAGCACACCAGGACTCAATAGGGCAGCAACAAATTAAAAACAAATGTCCAATTATGTGACTGCTGTTAATTGTCTACAAAATGCAATTCTGAGTGTCGCGTCTGCTTTACTGTACCGTACTTTGCAGCGCCTCCANTCTTAGCCAAAGTAGCACCAGGCAGCCTCTTCGATGGATGTGCCATGCCGTTCTACAAATGGTTTTATCGTGTTGCAATTAAGGCCACGTTTACACACAGCTGGGGATTTACAAAACCTACGTAAAATCTACGTTTTCAAAAATAACATTGTTCACACCAGATCGTTTTTAAAAAAAAATCTCCTTTAACACAAACCCTGTTAAGAGCAGCTATGAGCTGCCAAACCTATAGGGGGCAGTGTAACAAGAAGCATAAAGCCATGCGAGCCAATCACAATCCTAGAAAAAAACCCCAACAATGAATGGCACGAATTACTTCCTGTTACTTTAACGATAATGGTGCGAGGGTCGCTAGTTTGGACCGACAGAGAAGTGGAGATGCTCCTGAATGTGGTGTTAGAGGACAAAACAAGTAAAATACTTGAAAACACTGACTGGGAAACATGTCAATCCAAGTATACGGACTGTAAACATGGTCGCACACATATGATGGTTTTGTCTCATACTGTGACGTCAAACTCTGTCTCCTCTTGTCTACATGCAAACATAAAGACAGAGTTTTTCCAAATCTCCACTTTGGCCGGAGTTTTCAGATGCGATTGTTTTCGGTGACTTGTAGCTTCGTTTACGTGTAAACCAAAGACCAATTGAAATATCACCGTTTTTGCTACGTGAAAACGGAGCCTAAGTGTGATAAAAATTATTTTTTCAGTCAAACTCAACTGAGATCATGAGTTTTTAAGTATTACGCTGCAGTTTTTCATGAAACTCTCTGCAGCCTGGGGAGACAAACTTCAAATTCATCTGTCTCAATGTGGACATAATCTGTACGTTTATGCTTAGATACACAACACAACTTCAATACAGTTGATAACTGAAAGAGAAATGACAAGAGATGCGAACACAACCTGAGATTTCTGTTCATTCGTTTTACCTGACACCTGCTTCATGGCCAGCTCCACATCTGAGCCAACACGATTGTTGATTGGACAGAAAAGAAGGATGACGTCACTTCCCTGCCGGTCCGTTTTCTCCACCTGCAGCTCCTTACTGTTCAGTCGCTTCAGCAGAGTTTCGTCGACACCAAACGTTTTCTTCCCCATCACGACTGTGCTGACCTTAACTGTCCCTGCAGCTGACAAAATGAGAAGAAGAAGGAATGAGATGAACAGAGCACAAAGATGGAATCACTGTGAGCTGCATTTCACTCACCTGCATGACTGGACGGTGCCTTGCGGCTTTTTGCTGACAAACCAAAAACAACATAACTATTTAGTATGTACACACTGAAGGATATACAGTCCACACATGCAGAAGAATTCATACAACAAGAATGCAGCTTGAATTGC